TTCCAATGAAAGGAACTCTTATCAATGGAACTGCAGAGGCAGACATTTTGACAAATTTTAAATTTTGTAATTGAATAACTTTGTTCAAATAAAACCCAAGTACCCTGTAATTCCCCAAATGTGGAAAAAAATTAATACAAAACATTAGAGTTCTGAGTATTACTTTTGAATGACTATAAGGGTCAAATTGACTAAAAGCATTTCACCGTCAGCTACTTTTTCTTGTGCATTTAAATATGCGTGTTTCTTTTGCCTAGCATTTTTCTTTTAACAAAAACATACATGTCTGATAGAAAAGAAACATAACTTTATTTCAGATATGTGTTTCAAGCATTTAAAAACAATATTCTCACTGTGGTCACTCTCCTGTTTAGAAGGGTATAAATGGAGGTTGGAACCAGCTCCAAGTATGTTGGCCTTCGAGCTCCATGTGGGCTGTACAAACCTAGATTTTGTATTTATTTAATGTCTTGTGCATGACACGGAGTCCAATATTGTGCTTTATGGATGTCTACACCTACCCCAACCCCATAGTAACATGTTGTGTTTATTAATGTCTACACCTACCCCAGCCTTAAACTTAACCTCATAGTAACTTGAAGTGCTTTATTAATATCTGCTCCACCTACACCAGCTGAACCCAACCTTCTTGTAGTTTAAGTTCCTCCCACTTGGAGGTCACTTCCTTGCTGTGTAAACCGTCCAACTTGCAGGGATTCCTACTTGCAAAGAAATCGAACATAACAAAGAAAATTTACATTTTACTGCAAGAATGGTCAGAATGAGCTTAATGGCCATTCAGGTAGTCAGTGGTGGAAAGAGTACTCAAAAATCATACTCAAGGAAAAGTACCATTACTTGTCCATAAATGTAGTATAAGTAGAGTAAAAGATCTGTCGTAATTATTACTCAAAGTATAAGAAAAAAGTAGCCCTTTTAGAAAGGCCTACAAGAGTAGTAGTGAGTATTAAACTGTAAAAAGTTAATATGTTTACATTTGTTGATGTGTGTGTAAATGTTAGTTAGGGTTAGGGTAACATTTAGTTAACGTTTAAGGCTATTTCATACAGGTCATCATACAGTAGACATCCTTCATCTTCTCATCAGTGACGTGCATCCGTCTTCTTGGACACCTTTAATGCTTTGTATTTATAAATCGCCCATTTTGAGGTAGTTCAGTATAATACAATTTACTTTCTATATGCCATTTGATTAGGCAGGAATCACAGGACAGATTCTTCTAATCCCCATAAGCAGGAAAAAAAATAATAAAACATTGACTGCAAGTTGAAGGAAAACAGTGGAGTAAAATTACTGCACTAAAATGTACTCAAGGAAAAGTAAAAGTACACATTTTTAAAACTACTTTCTAAATTAAAATTTTTGAGAAAAACTACTCAATTTGAGAAAAATTACTCAATCAGTAATTTGATTAGTTGTAATTTGCACTATAATAATAACTTTACACCATTGGTAGTAGTTATATAATTCTGGTATATCCATTGTTAATGATTCAGCATACCAATGCATTTTGGACTATTTTTCAGCTACCAGCTGTGGCTACAGTTTGTGGATGGGTGCTTCCGGCACCAGTACACAAATCAAGGTTCATAAAGACATGAATGAGTTTATGTGAAGACACTGGATTGGCCTGTACAGAGTCCCGATCTGAACCAGACAGAACACTTTTTAAATGAATTAGAGTAGACACCAAGTGGTACTCACTGTAGAGCCACATGGGCAGAGTTCCAACAGGGGGTAGTTTGAGCTACAGCTCCTTCTTGCTGCAGTTCTTTTTCAAGTGATGTCACTGGGGATTGGGTTAAGGGGCAAGGTTGGATGTATACATTAAACCATCTTACAGAAGGAGCTGGAGCTCAAGCTCCCCCTAATTGGAGGTAAGCTCCACCCAAGTGGCTCTGCAGTGAGCACTTTCTCGTAGAAACTGTAAGCCAGGCCTTCTCATCCAACATCAGTGCAAGATTTCACAAAAGTGCTTCTAATTGAATGGTCAAAAATTTCTATAAATACACTTTTAAATATTGTGGAAAGCCAGAAGGGTTCAAGCAGTTATTGCTGGTAAGGATGGACCAACTAATAAACTCTACGGATTAAATTTAGGATTTCATTAGTTCATGTTAATTTAAATGTTCCAAACTTATTATTCATTAATTTTCTTGTCGGCTTAGTCCCTTTATTAATCCGGGGTCGCCACAGCGGAGTGAACTGCCAACTTATCCAGTTTTTACGCAGCGGATGCCCTACCAGCCGCAACCCATCTCTGGAAAACATCCTCACACACATACACACACACACTCATACACTCACAGGGGCGCAACTACACATTTACTGAGGGGTATGCGGGTTCAAATTTTGTGTGATCCCTCTTATTTTATATTAATTAATTAATAATAAATGAAGACAAATTTTCAGATAAATCTTATAACTTTTGACATTATGTATGATTTGACAGTTTATTTTGATAAAAATAAAAACAAATCTAAACAGTTACATCTACATGAACACTTTCGGCTGTGGGACTGCATGTTATTGTGTTAAATGATTTTGAATTAAACAATAACAATATTATATTCGTTTAAAATGCAAAATAATGTTTTTTAATAAAACATATTTATTTATTTTTATTATTTGAAACTTTTAATAAGGATAATTTTAAAAATAGTTTTGGCACAACGGCGCCCCCCCATGTGTGGCGCCCCTATGCGCCGCATATACTGCATACCACCTTGTTGCGCTACTGTACACTCATTCACTACGGACAATTTAGCCAAACCCAATTGACCTGTACCGCATGTGTTTGGACTGTGGGGGAAACTGGAGCAGCTGGAGGAAACCCACGTGAAGGCTGGGAGAACATGCAAACTCCACACAGAAACGCCAACTGAGCTGAGGTTCGAACCAGCGACCCAGCGACCTTCCTGCTGTGAGGCGACAGCACTACCTACTGTGCCACTGCCTCGCCCCAAACTTATTAGTAATGAATTTTGTCTAACAATGTGCTGCTGACCTCACTGACACAGTAGGTGAACAATTCCCAGATGACCAACTGCATCCTCTGAGATTCTGAAGTGTGCAAACAATGGACACTTTGCAGTCCCATGAGGCTATAGGGCTGAAAAGACTGTCAGATTTGAAACTTTAAAAGTGTCAGAGAATGTGAGCCAGGTGGCTTATTTCAAAGATAAGTGCTATAGGGACCAAGAAAGATGTTCCCTCTTACATTTTACAAACACTAAGCTAGAGAATTATGGGGCCTGGTGGCAGAGAAATGAAAAGAAAAACCTGAAAAATTGAAGGTAAGGAGGCAAAAAAATCCCCAGCACAATTAAACTGAACTATTGATACTGTCAGGATTAAATAAATAGTGTCAATTTGCAACTACATTTAGACCTGTGGACTTCTTGTGTTTTTTTCTTTGCTGTGCAGAGCCTTATAACAAACAACACTAATTTCTGTTGAGCTTATAAACACAACTGACAGTCAGAGCATTTGTTAATCACTGCTGAAGTTTTTTTCCAAAGGAACTTGCAAATATTAAAATTTAGTTTGTCAGTGGGTAGCGCTCTCGCCCCACAGCTAGAAGGTCGCTGGTTTGAGCCTCAGCTGGGTCAGTTGGCATTTCTGTGTGGAGTTTGCATGTTCTCCCCGTGTTGCCGTGGGTTTTCTCCGGGTGCCCCGGTTTCCCCCACAAGTCCAAAGACATGTGGTACAGGTAAATTGGATAATCTAAAATTGACTGTAGTGTATGTGTGTGAATGAGTGTGTATGGATGTTTCCCAGTGATGAGTTGTGGCTGGAAAGTGTGAAAACATATGCTGGATAAGTTGGTGGTTCATTCCATTGTGGTGACCCCAGATTAACAAAGGGACTAAGCTGAGGGGGAAACCATGCCACCATGGGGAGAACATGCAAACTCCACACAGAAATGGTAACTGACCCAGTCGGGGCTCGAACCAGCCACCTTCTTGCTGAGAGGTGATTGTGCTACCCACTGTGCCACCGTGCTGCCCTCTGTCAGTTTAGTGGTTCGTATTGCATATATATGGCACACTATTATACACTGAAACAAATTGTTCACTGCAAATTATTGCAAACTATTTAAGTTGAACATAAAAACTGTTTGCAACCAATTAAATCAAATAAAACATTTTGTTCAGTGTATATACTTGTTTATTTACATGCTATCGTATACAATTCAGAAAGGATAAAAAATTAAATAATGTAAGAAAAACTTTTTTTTTTTACTAACCTACACTGCTGCATAACAGTTTAAGTTGCAACCAAGTTATGCCAGTGTATGTAAAACAACAAAATCAACAATCAATAATTATAACAAAGTAAAAGAAAACTGTAATGTTTGATGCTGCCTGCTCGAAAAATATGTGATGGATGCAAATCTGAAATCAACCCTAACAATTCACCATCTTTTAATGTTAATAATGACACATCAAGTGTTAAATATCATGTCAGGAAGAAGCTTTAACATCCACAGAACATTTTCATTGCACAAAGTGTTCTTTATTGTGTAAAATGTTGTTTACATGATTAAAATCTTCTTTAATCATGTAACATTAAAACACAAAAAAATAGTTTTAAAGAACCTCTGAAGGGAACCCAAAATAGGTCTTTATGGCATCACTGCGAAAACTCAATTATGGAACCTTTTTTAAGTGTGAAAAGGGAAACACGAGCTTGTTTTCCCGATCAGTGTTGCCGTGGACAACAAATATTATTTTATGAAATATTTGTCTTGAAACGTTCAACTGACCAATCAGAATTGAGCAATCCTTACAGCAGTGTTTTCATATGTATTATTAAACTAATTATTTAAAAAAGCAAACACATTCAAAATTCATAAATGTAGTTAACTTTAATATTCATAATATTTATCACGAGATTAAAAGGTTGTTTTAATAAATTCTAGATTGTGTTTGGTGTAAATATTGTAGATTCTGAAAGCCCGCTTTAAACGGATTAAGGGACAGTAGAGGGATGGATGAGCCGCAGCTCCTGGTCATAGTCGGTGGTCCAGATTTTGATAAAGTAAGTCACATTGAGGCAGCGGTGCCGCAGTCATCGTGTCGTCGGTGCTCCGGCAAGGCGAAGTGCTCACGCGGGATGATTGGTGAGGTGTTCCACTGACCGCGCCCTCATTTCGCGCCCGTAACCGCTACCGGGAGACGCGCATTGAGCGGCAGATCTGCGGTGTCGTTTCATGCAGGTGGAGCGGCTTGACGCGCTCACACAGCCGTCGTCTGTACGCCAGTGAAAGGGGAGGGCAAACGCCGCATTTCGCCTCTCTGGACTATACAAAAGGCGACCGAACAGTTCCCAGTCAGAAGTGGGGGAAACGCGCGCGCACTTTCAGGTAAGAGCACTTCTGCGTGTCCCTGCAGATGCTTTTGTCATCGGAATATGTGTTTTCAAAGATGCAGGTGATGAACGGGGCTGGAGAAGAGAAGTGAGCGGACGGTGTTGACTCATAAGCGCAGATGTTATTGTCTGCTCTGTGTTATTGTTCAAACCCTCGGAAGTCTGGCTTTTTTTTTATATGTTCCTCGTTGGTGATGGTTTTGAACACCTGCGTGCCAGCGTAGCGTTACTAACGGGCGCTGTGTGTATTGATTTGCCCCCATTCTAGTCATGCCATGTGCGGCTTTCGGATGCACGAGAAAGAGAGAGGAAGAGAAAGAGAGAGTGAAATGGAAAAGCCGTGGGAATAAAACAGCCTTTTGTTTGGATAAAGGGCTATTTTTTCTCTAAATGGGTTGTTGGTGAAATATTTATTTTTGTGGAATGAATTTACAAGGGAGATCTGACCCTTTTAACAAGTTCACAAAGGACAGGCTAAATGTGGTCCCAATAAATTGTTTGAAAGACTTATCAAGGCCTTTTTTGCATATTTTTTTAAAAAGATTTTGTCTTTTTATGTATTGGCATTTACATTCAGAAAGTCCTGTTCATCCAATATAACACTGATGATTTTATGATGTAGCCTAAGTCACATTATTGTTCCCAGGCAACTCAAATATATGATGTCATTATTTACTCTCATTTTATTCTGTACACATGCATGTCTGTTTTCCTTCTTTCCTGGAAAACATATTTAAGTCTGCCATCTTATCAAATGATGATCAATCATGACTGAAATGACCAAAAAGTGTCATATAATCAATACTTATGTTAGTTTGAAGAGATTTACTGAAAGACCGGATTTTCTGCTGCTTTTCTTTGAAAATCCTTTCCAACAGTGAGCTGAACATGAGTACAGGATGTTTTGAGAACAAGTCATTCAGGTTAGATTGTGAATTACCGACAGTTTAATAAGATCAGACTCAAATAGTTGTTCACAAATCTAACATAATCAAATATGATATTCCAACACAATCTCAAGAGGAAACTTAACTATTTATATTATTGTCAGAAAAGTGGCTAATTTGTACAAATTAATTTGATTTAATTGACATAAAAATGTCAACTTTTTTTTAAAAGTACCGTGCCTGCAATCCTCACCCTCAACTCTATACCTTCCATTGGGGAATGAGTAAATCATACTAAAATGTATGAATGAGATTACAAATTAATACAAATGAGCCACTAAATCAAAACGTTAAACACACAGATGACAATAGCTATGTTTCCATTCATCTATTTTTATGCACATTTTGAAAATGCATATAAAAAATGCATGCGCATAACTTGGTAGGATAAACTTTTTATCCGATAAGAAAAGATGTGCATAAACTATGATGGAAACACTTTTGTCAGTTTGTTAATTAAAAAAGTCACGTGATTTTGTTATAAGAGATCATGTGATGATAAAAATGTTTGTGAAAGGACAAATCAGCAGGCTGACCACATTGTAAAACATCTGAGATGTTGGTTTAGTCATTCTAAAATGCCTTAACCATCTCAGTATTAATGTTATTGTATCATTAATTACCTGCAAAGTTGTCAAGAGCATCTGTGCTCCATGTCTCACGCCTTCAAATGCCACCATGTGTTCATTGCGTGTCGGCATTTGTCCTTGTCATTTATTAAATGAAGAAAAGATTCACTCAGCTTCTTCTATCGCAGCAAATTCCATTTTTGCTGTTGATTGTTTGGCGCCAGTTAATCTAGAAGTTACAATTTAGTTCTCTTTGACTCGTTGGATGGAAACGCGCATGTCTTTTATGTGATATTCCAGTTTTGCGCATACATTTAATTTGCATCTTTGAATAGAAACGTAGCTAGTGTTGTTATATTATACTTCAAACAGACCCACAAAACTAACAATTACTTATCATGCATGTCAAGCCAGTAGATGGCGATGTCACTTGTAAACAAACACTATGCTTGGACACATACTGTACAATCATGAATCCACCATTGTTGCGGTTGTCAAGCAGCCACTCATGCATGCTTATAGACTTAATATGTAATATGTTTAGGCAATATGTCACTGTTTTAACTAAATTGTGTTTTTGTAGTTACATGTAGACAAAGGTATCAATTTTAAAAAACATAGGAACTGCAAAAATCTGTAAAACGGTATGATAGGAGTTGGTCGAACTTTTGTCCACAGAGAGCTTAAAAAAACAGTCTTATTTTTTTTTTTTTAGCATACACAGTATATTATGATAGTTCTGTGATTGATTGATAGATTGATTGATTAATTGGTTGCATATTTTCTTGTGTAAGCATATAAGTTTACACAAACATCATACTTCACACCATACCTGCCAACACTGTTCTGTCTCCCGGAAAACTCCTGGAATTCCACCCCCTATCCCCCCTAAAACTGTTATATAGAAAGGAACTGGTCAAACTATTGTCCACAGAAAACTTTAAAAGGGTCTTTTTTAGGATATACAGTATTTTATAATAATCCTGTGATTGATTGATTAATTGATTGCATATTTTCTTGTTTCTAAGTTTACACAAGAAAAACAATACATGTTTTGATGATTAGGGTTGTATGATTCTTTTTCTTTAAATCAACATTTCTGCAGCTCTTTATATAGTGTACAGATATAATAAACACCAGCACATCTGAAGAATGTATCCTCCATAATGCTGTTTTAATCCTTTTTGTATCGCCCTCTTGAACATCTGCTGTCTTTTTTTCTGCCGTTGCCATGTTGCAACCCTCTATTAGCTCCATCACCAACTGTTCTCTGGCAGGGCAGCCAGGGCTGAAGAACTGAGGCTAACTCGATTGTGAGCTGATGTCAGATAAATCTTTGCGGGGTTGTGGTGTATGAAAATCCTCCAGCACTCTTCATGAACGACAATACATCACGGGCGTAATTAAATTCACTGTTTATTATTAGTATATGATTAACACCACTAATTGCGCACGAGTCCCTCGCGTGGTAACTGCTGAGGTGAATCAGTCAAATTGAGCTTTGATGAATGGTGGCTATATTCAGACTGATGTTCCTAAAGTTTACGACCAAGACACGCTCTAGATAAACTCTGCTTCTCCAGTTGATCAAATCAACAGGACTGCTATTATTGAAAGTCTTGCGCGATCAATATCACATAATAGTTGCTGTCTGTCAGCATAATAGGTTAGTTCGGCAGTTATATGCAACCATTTACTAGGCTATAAAAATGTGCACACACACACAGATGCAGATGGGCTCGCTCTGCACATGAAGACCATTAATGATTCCAAGCCATAGGGATACGGGTCAGTAATGGAAAACAGTGCTTTGAGCATGTTAGTCGTTTCCGGCTTTGTACCTATGAACCATGAAAGTTTCATGAGCGTTTTTAAAACGGCACTATAATAAGAAAAAAAACAAAAACAAATCAAATGCCTTCTGTTTTCAAGCACCATCGATTATTCATTCAGCTATGCAGCAGTGTGGATGTCAAAACAACATCACAGCCCATCTCTGGGAGCTTGACCTGGCTTCCCATCCAGGTAGCATTGGGAAAAAGAGGGGATTTTACTAAAGGGGTTGCCCACTGCCAGAGCTCACAGCTGGGTTTTGCATGGCTCATCGTATTCATCCGTAGCTGGAACACACTAGATGTCACCCCGTTACACCGATTCGAAATCAGTTTTGCAGTTGCTGTCATGGTTGCGGTTTGGATTTGGCCAGGCGAGGCAGGTCCCACTTCAGGAAAATGAGAGGAGAGCAGAAGGGGGAGACCGGCATTATCAATAGCCTCCCATGAGTGTTAGGCCTGGAACTAAATCTCATCTCACCAGCTGATAAGGAGTATCGCTGGCCGTCATTGGGCTCAGAGATATCGAAAAAAAAAGGGGGTGGAAGGAAAGCTGGTGGCCTTCCTGATGGACAGGTGGTCTTCCTTTTGTTTTTTCTCAAACGAATGTTGACTGGTTTGTGAGCACCCTTTTTTTTTTTTTCGTCCTTCTCTGCTGTCCTTTGGCGTCAATTTATGAACTGTTTGATTTTATTATTATTTATTTTTTTGCACAACGAGACTGAATTTTGCCCGGTGCAGCTTGCACAATGACCCAGTGCTGGGTAACTGACAAGTTGTCAGATTGTTTGTGCGCTGCTTAATTAATTACTTTTTAAAGCATTTCGCAATTAGCATGATGATGGTTCATCATAACATTGCCTCATGATGTCTGCCGTTGTTATGCTCACGCTGGGTGTGAATTAGGCTTACCAGCTTCATGATGATCTATAGTTTTATTAAATTATTAATGCAAGATGAGCACAAAACAAAAAGAAAACATGCAGTGTGATACATTAGTGTAGCGCAATCTGTAATTGAGATTACTATTATGGATGCTGCAGTTAAGTGTCACTTTTAAATTTAATTAGCTATTTTATGCGGTGTTTTACCAGTGTAATAAATCTCAAATCAAGCCTGTATTCTTATTAGTTCCATCTTTAGATTAAGTTTGGCATGAAATGTCTAAATTATCAATCATTATTATTATTATTATTGATCACAGTTTAAAATAAATGGTGAATAGGGATGCATTGTACTGTATCGGCTAGTAATGCTCCGATAAGGATTTTTGCAGTACTGAGTAACGATTTCTTGTCATGGTGATCGCCAGATACAGAGTACCAATTCTGATGCTTCAGCTTTATGATACATAAAGCACATTTCCCCTCTAAGTGTGATTATTTAAGTGGGGTTTTCTCCTTACCTAATAGAATAAATTAAGGATGCTGCATATAATCCCTTAAACATGTCTAGTACAACCATTCATTGTGGACAAACATGGTCAGAAGGAGCTTTACAGAAAATAATATAAGAAACCTATTAAAAAGAGTTGGTTATAGAAATGATTAACAATGCAATTTAGAAACATCGCAAATGATAGAAGAGGAATTCAGCATGCCTCAATGAAGAAAATTTTTTGCATATTTGATGCATAAGAAGTTAACC